TAACTAGCATTTAAAGTGAACAGAAAGGTGCAGCATGCATTTTAACCGGAGACACAAGTCTCAAATAAATACAGTCCAACATCGGTTTATGAAAGAAAATTAGTAAGGAAACAGCATAATGATTGTTTTGTAACACAGTTAACAAGTCAGGGACAAGTTTTGGAGAATTGTGAAGCAGGAATATGTTATTAAAGCTCTGATCATTTCAGTGAGAACTTTTCAATCTTCATCTGAAAATGGAAACGTGATGTCACAAATTAAAAGCACTGTAAAGAGAAATAATCAGAGAAGAAATCCTGCAGAGATCCATTCACAAGGCGGGTGAATCTGTTGGACGATTTGTTGTGTGTCTTCTCATAGCTGCCCTTTATGGTAGAGTAGCAACAAGAAAGTCATGGTTGAAATAAACCGTAGAAGACATTTGCAGTTTGCCACAAGGCATAAAGGGGACACCGTACAATGTGTGAGGAATATCCTCTGTATAAATTTTGATGAGAATGTAACTTATGGGGTAAAACGTGTTATTTGTGGGTGCGCATCCTCCTTAATGCAAGATTTTCAGGCTGAAACATAGTGGTACAGAATCATGCGGCTGAGATGGCAGGGGCAGGGGAGCTGAGGTGATAGACGGAAAAAAATACCGAGGCAACAGGTCCAACAGGGAAACAAAGCTAAAAGCTAAACATAAAGCCAGATTTACAGCACAATTGAATGATGAATAACCTAGTCAAAGTTCAGATATCCAATAGAGAATCAGTTGCAAGGCTTGAAAATTGATATTTGTAGATGCCGTCCATTCAGTCGGACAGAAATTGAACTATGTCATGGAGATGCATCCCACAAGAATTGCAAAGCTATTTTATAAAAAGGGTCCTTCTACAAAGGATTGCCTCAGATGGGCTGTGCAGAAATACATAGGTTTTTTATTTCTGTTGTTTACATAGAAAAAGGCCCCACGTGTGTGATATATATATATATATATATATATATATATATATATATATATATATATATATAAAAATATAAAACTCTCAATATTTTCTTCTACATGCACAGTTATGTACTATTTTGTATTTGGTCTATCATATAAAATCCCAATAAAAAAACATTGATGTTTGTGCAACATGTAGTAATGCAAAAGAGTTCAAGTGGCGCTTTTAACTTTTTTTCTTCTTAGTAAATTTCAGTGGTAGCAGTGTGTGTGTAGACGATGTGCGACAGCACAAACATGTGGCGAGATAGTGACAAGAAAAGAAAACAGAAAAGACATTGCTTAATTGCCTTTTCAGTCATTAACGGGGTCTCACACCTCATGAAACATTAATTACACTGAGCGCTGTGGAGATAGGGAAGCTTAATTAGAAATTATTCACTGCACAGAGAGAGCTGAGCGATAGTATTTCTGCGGCGTGTAAATTGTCCGTGTGAGATCTAAAATAAGTGCAGCGAAAATCTATGTAGACGCTAAGCTTATCTGGTTTCCTCCTCACTTGCTTGTCTTGTGGAGTGAGATTCCCCTTTTTGCCTAATGGCAAGTGGAGTGAAGTAGGACATGTGCTCACCCTCCCGCCCCTCCTCCCCCTGCATACCTTGCATTGTTCTCACCTATCTGATAACTCCCGTTTACTTCATAAATAATTTACACGATCCACCTCGCAGCCTTATACTCGGGGCATAATTGACACAGACAATTTGCCTGTTACCCTAACATCTGGGAGGGACTGATTAGTTCATCCCCTCCCACTTTAGTCCTTCACCTCAATCCTCCCCATCTTTTAATAGCACTCTCTACAGAGCAGCCCACATTTTTCTTCTCTGCGGTGATCTAAAACCTCAGTTTTTCATATGACATTAATGCTTTTGATGGGATATATACCCCTGACACTCCCACCCCCATCACGCTGTTTCACACATTTCCCATAATCCCCTGCACATCTTGACAAATGGCCTGCTCCGCCCCCTCATCTCAGGTGTATTGATCCAACTCTCCAACCAGCAATTGCCACCACGTCATCTGGTCGGGAAGTTAGTGTCTGCATGTGTGTGTGTGTTGGTGGAACACCATTCATCTTACAAGCACAAACAAAGGAAGTGGCAAAGAATGCACCTGAGGTAATAAAGATTTTTATAAATGTAGCATTAATGGATGTCACATACAAAGTTACATACCAATTCAAATTCTATACAAATTAGAAAATGCAAGTTAGTTGTCAGAGTGATGCAACAAAATGCAACATGTAATTCTATAGATGTCTCTGAGATTGAGAGCAGGAGCACCAATAATGCCATTAATTGAGACTATATAGGATTTTCCTCTTAAAAAAATGAGGAAGGAAGATGTGGGATGAGTACAGACTTACAGTAAATAACTATATCACCTCTTTGCCCGACATAGGTAATAGTTAATAGGCTGCAAGAGTAGTAAATATACATTAAATACACTCTTATGTGGGTGTTAACATAAGTATTTGTATGCTGTGTATCAAATGCAGAGCATGTTCCTGCCTAAATCCGGTATTGAATGGAATTTGCTTTTAGCCATTTATTATCATAATACAAAAATCAGGCTACTCCAGCAGAGCTGGTTAATGTGTATTTTCACGACTAGCAGGTAGTGTAATTTTACCTAAAACTGCAAATTTCCATGCTAGATATTTAAACGTATAATTGTTGTTTGAGCTGAATTTAGATGAACAATCTTTAGATGAGCAAAATACTCCTATTTTGCTCTCATCTCCATGAGAGCAAAATTATTGTTAATTTTTACACGTTAGAAAATAAAATCCAACAGCCACAGGTTAAGTGCACCTTTATTATTATTATTTTCATTTTTCTTTGGTATTTTCTGCTGTTTGTATTTATTTATTTATACATTCATACATAAAAATCGCTTGACCATCCTGGCCTGAAAGTTCAATACTCAATCTTTTATACTTTTATCTGCAGAGGTAAACATAATAAAAGCATAGTAAATGTTTGTCAAAAAACTGAAATATTATTTTCATTTCACTAAGATAATCTCAAAGTGAAAGTTTTAGCAAAGTAAAGACTTTAAGTATTTCTATCTGTTAAAAAAAGTCATATTTCAACAGACAATAGTTTTAAATCCAACCATGGTGCAATTGTTGCTTTTCCTGCTGTTAAAAATGTGTACCTATGCAGAACAAATCAGTGTACTTCGGGAATATTGTAAAGGGTCGAGGCAAACAAAGAGCTCTAAAGCCAATTCTCTTTCCACAATCCCCATAGATTATTCTAAGTTCTGATACCCTTTACTTATACTCTCTTCAGCTTCAATGATGACCATGCAGTGAGGTTAATTATGTGTCTCTTTAGTTCTGTTTCAGTCTGCCCATACTTTTCAGTCCACAGTATATTGTGCTGAACGACACAAAATTCCCAATTTTTCTACCACAGTCCTAAAGATTTTTATGTAAATTAGCCAAGTGTTACAAAATTTTCTTTATGTCACGCACAATAGCAAGGCTACTGAGGCCTATTGAGGAGAAACGATCGGTAGCGTCATGCTAACTCTATCATACTATGCAGCAAGCATGAGGTGCTTTATCATACATCTTTTATTTTATTTCAAACCACCATAAGTGGTCAATCTTTACTCCTACTCTCATCTGGCCAAAGAATACAGTCTAAGTTAAAGACCAGGTAGAGCTTAGGAAAGATGATGTGTTTACATTTCTGATGTCGTGAAATATATCTACTGTATACCGTATTTTCACGACTATAAGGCGCACTTAAACGTCTTTTTTTTCCCCTCAAAATGTGCGGTGCGCCCTTTGGTGCGGTGCGCCCTATGTGTGTTGTAACTGCGACTTTTGAGACCACCTCATTGAGGAGATGATGAAAGAGTGGCTGAATGTAAGGAGACCAGGTGTTTTTTTTTCCACTCATCACCATCGCTGTTAATATGTAACTCCATGCATGCCCATCTCACAGCTGATGTGAAAAACATGGTGAAACAAATTAGGCTGTGCTCGCTGTTCAACCGCTCGACATCGGTGTGAACCGGACCCAGCAGGTGCAGCAGAAGCAGCGAGTTTACATGCAAAGTCAATGGTTGACGCGCGTATAGGTGCAGCAAAAGGTCCCGCAGCGCGTTTTGAGCAGCAGGCGCAGCGCGTTGGCGGTGCGTCAGATGCTTAAACGCTCCCGACTGCTCGAGATGGAAAAATTTAAGTTTTGCTGCTGGACGCGCCGCATCAACCAATCAGAGAAGCTGATCTGGGAGCTGACAGCGAGACAGACACAGCGCTCTGATGACATATGATATTAACGCAAATGAAAAAGGCTGGATGGATGAGGAGATGATGAAAGCGTGGCTGAGGCAGGTGTATGTGAGGAGACCAGGTGCTTTTTTCCACGCATCACCATCGCTGCGTGCCCATCTCACAGCCGATGTGAAAAAAAAGGTGAATCAAATGAACGCTGTGCTCGCCGTTATCCCGGGGGGTCTGACAAAGGAACTTCAACCGCTCGACATTGGTGTGAAGCGGCCGTTCAAAGTAAGGCTGCGAGCGGCGTGGGAGCGATGGATGACAGACGGAGACCACAGTTTCACGATAAGTGGAAGGCAGCGCCGGGCAAGTTACGCCACCGTTTGCGGATGGATTGTTGATGCTTGGACTAACGTGTCTGCTGGCACCGTTGTTCAAGCTTTCGCAAAAGCCGGCATTGTTTCTGAGGGAAGCCGCGCTGCACGGAAAGTGACTCTGACAGCGAAGAAGGGGAAATTGGCATGTCTGATTTAGCGCATCTGTTTTATTCAGAAACAGAGGATGATGACTTTGATGGGTTTGATTAATACTTTGTAATAAATACATGAATAAAGCACAATGGTGCTTTATTCATGAAAAACTATGGTGCATTTTTCCTTACATTAACTATAAAACATACTGTAATTCACCTACTCTTAGATTTATATTCAATTTTTTCACATTCCTATGACACAGATTTGGGTTTTAAGGCAAAATAAGAATCCTCACCTATTTTTTAGATGCTGGATGCTTCCAAGGCACTTGAAGCGCCCGTTTACCATGATGGCCATACGAGTGCACAGTGCTTCACACTCCTCCATACTGTTAAAGAAAAAGAGGTGAAGGTTAGCAGGTAAAATAAATAGTATAACTTATTACTTGAGGAAAATTTTACTTTAAACAAATGCATCTAAAGAAAACAACATATTTCCCATTTGGAATGACTTTTTACAGTACATTTGTCTTTAAGCTAAAGCTTTGGTCTGATAACTTTACACATCCACTCTGACACCTTAAACGAAGAACAAATTTGGTAATTAGAGTGAACACAGAGTGCCATCTGTATCCCTATTATTTTTTGGTCCCTTTTATTGTTGGACCTCAGCTTTAGCCAAAAGTAGTTGAAGCAAAACCCGTGACTGCTTTCTGAAGAATAGCACAATTATCATTATGATTTTGTAAAACCCGATGACTTTGCCACCTAACAAAACAGAACCACCTGGTCATGACATGGACAGTTGGACGCAGCTCTGCCACATTGCCTGTGACAACAACAAATGCTTTTATTCCCCCATAAAAGGAGCACGTGTAATGAGGAGGATCTATTCCAAATGAAACAGAGCCGGAGGGAGCAAATGTTTCCATTTGGAGAATGTTGAAAAGAACGATCCAGTAAGTAAACAATTAAAATTTTAAGTTTTTTTTTTTTTTTTTTTTTCAGAAGGCAAAAACTTTGGGAATTTAAGTTTGCTTCAGGAAGTGTTAGACAATAAAAAGACTCCTGCACTGATATTGACATTTTCCCCTTTAAAGGAGGAAGAAAAAAGAAAAAGAAAAAAAAAGCTGCAGCCAGTCGATATACCCTCACGCTTCATGAAAGCTTTATAGCAGCCAGTGTGTTTTTGGCAGCCAATATTAACTACCACTCGGGAAACAATACCTCTCAACAAAAACGACGATTTCAATCAATTATAATTACAATATTTAGAGCTCCTGTTCCTGTACAGAAAACATGATTTCCGTATTTTTCTGCCTGGAGGAGAGTCTAAATATTTTCACTGGGTGAGAGGATATGAGGAGGATCGATGAGAAGAGAAGGCCCCACCTGTGTGATGTAAGAATAACTGAGCGTCCCTCTTTGATGACACTTAGGATGCAGTCCCACAGGAAGCGTCTGGCTTTGGGGTCCATTCCAGTGGTTGGCTCATCCTGCGGTACAATGAAATAAATTAAACAGATATCTTTCTATTTCTTTTGAATTCATCACATTGTTTATAGAATAACTTGCAGAGTGGAGCTGTTTGCCACAAACTGAGATAGAAATGCAATCCAATATAACCTATAAGCTTTGAACTTGGAGAACAACTTAGAATGAATATATTTTTATAAAATCCATTTCCCTATAGCGTTGTCTGTGTGTCAACAGAATGCAGATCCTATTTTATATATTTTGTAAGGTTAATTCAATTTGTGCTGCAGAGACTGACAGGGTTTTTTTCTTTCAACAGCTTCACCCTAAGAAAACTCCTTGTATTTAGCTCCATCAATGTTCCTATCAACTAGCCTTCCTAAAGGGAGAAATGGGTTCCTATGTTGTAGTTTATTATCATAGGCCTAAATTATTCAAACTGGGAGTATCCATGCAAATTTAATGACAATAACAACAGATGAGGTATATTTGCTAATTCATTAAAGCTGCAGTCTGTAACATTGAGGAGAGAGCAGACTTCGACTGAAAATTTGAAGAAAAACAGGTTTCACTCCACTCCCCCACCCTCTCTGCTTCACTCATGCCCCACCTCCAAGCTCCACCCCTCTCACAGCATCTGCGCGGCTACCGCATGCAACCAGAAGGGGGGAGGCGGGATTCAGCGTGTGTGAGCTGTGATTGACACTCCATCAGACGCTCCTCTGGCTGTGATTGGTTGTTTTGACTCGTCCCGAATTATTCTTTCCAGATTGAAATACAGGCAGTATGCGGTACCAATTGAAGCAGTTTTTTTTCACAGGTTACATATCACATGTACTGCTGTCTGGGCATAGGGACAGTTTTAGCCAATATGACAAAAAAGTGATTTTTAAAAACTTACAGACTTCAGCTTTAACTTATAATAATACTGTTAGGCTATTTATCTCTTCCCACTGTTGCTTCCATGAAAACATCAATAAATGCTGAATCTACCTTTTAACAATATTGTAATGCAATTATTAGAAATGGCCTGTAGTTATAATGGAGGAGACTTGACCAAAGCACGTTAGACTACATGCAGTCATTCATGCACAAACTAACAAACTGATGGGGGCAAGCTACATTCTCACCACAGCTGCACTGGGGCTCACTGACAGAAGTGAGGCTGCTGTACACTGGAGCCAGCAGTCCCTCTGAGCACCCTTTTGATATTTGGCACTTTTTTATTATAACTCATTATAACCCATTCCTGAACTCAGTGCAAAGAAAAAAAAATTGCGCTCCATCATAGAGCCACTACCACGTGTCACCTTTCCCAGCATTGTCAGGTTGATGTGGAGTATTAGTTTTCTCTTGAAGACCTTTATGCAAGTCAGGATGTTCCTTTTCAGCCTTGCTGACGTATCATTTTATTTCATCAGGGCTAGTTTATAGTCACAACTTATAGTTGCCCTGGCTAAAGAATCTCCTAACCAAATTGTTGATCTCTGTAGTTCATCCAAAGTTATATAGTGGAGGATGTTATTTTTTTAAGTGGATCATCAAAATAAGTGAACCTCCTAGTAAGCTTGTATGAGCGATACAAACAACAACTTTAAAACAGAGGATGCACGAGAAAAAATGGGCTTGTGCATGCTCTTTCATGCCATTTATAGGCGTTCCCTCTGGAGAGCTGGTACAGGGTTGAACATGTGCATTTTTGTGCAAGTGGAGAGGACAAGTCTTTATAAGAGTTGCAAAAATCCTCCACTATACCTTTTAACTATTTGCAAAAACAAAAGGCAAATTTTTCAGAAATATGAAAAAAATTTTTCAGCCTGGTTAATGATTTCTTTTAGCCTATGATGGCAATTTAAGAACACAAAATATTAAATAATCAGACCCTCTTTTTAGATTAAATTCTTAAATGACAAATAAAAAAAACTGTTTTTGTCTCTTACTAAGGTTTTTTTTTATGCTTTAATTGAATTTCATGGTAAATAGGACAGCAAACTTTAACATCCAAGGAAGACCTGGGGCACCCATTTAACCTTGGTCAAAATACAGCCTGACTTTTCTGATGAGAGGGGACCTGATTTCTGATTGGTCATGCAAAAAACACATTTGTTGTAAGATTGAAAAAAAAAATGAAAATGTATCCATAAAATTAAGGGAATTTTATACATTTCTTAAAAAAAAAGAGACATCTAATTTGGTTGTTTTTTTTGGGGGGGGGGGATTTTTTGCTTGTTAGCTAAAAGTAAAATAAATCTAATCTAATTTCTAATTTACAATAGTGATTTTTGTGACCAATGAGGATTGTACTTTTAACTTGCTGATTTTTTTTCTGTTTGACAAAAAGTTTGGACAGCAACCCCACTGAATTAAGTAATTAGATGATTAAGAGGGCTTTGGAGAAAGTGACTACATACTGAGGAAGTAATTCAGCCATTTGATTCAGGTGTGCTGGACCTAGGATGAATCTGAAAGCTGCATCATTGGCCCTCAGGGGGTGGAATTCCCCATCCATGCGTTAGGCACTCACAGTACCCCTAAAAATACTTGTTTTTCATGTGAAAAAATAAATAAAATGCTTAGGGGGTGTGAATATTTTTCAGATATTTTTCACAAGCACCGCAGATGGCATATGAGAAAAAAAAGAAACAGCGTACAGTAAAAAAAATACCCCACTCTTTTCTTTTGACTAAAGTATTCATACACCTTTATAAGGAATACTTTTTGGAACCATGGAGCGCCATCTGTTCAGCAAAGTCCTGTATCTGGCAAGGTGCACTGCGGTTGTACAATGCACACATAACACAAAGAATAAGAAAAAAAAAGACAGACATCTAAAAACACACAGACAACCAGTGTACAGTGAATTTTTCTTCTGACCATAACACCCCTGTGCACATAATAAGTACAGAGGCTGAAGCCTGAGCAGGCTGAGCTCAGCTCAGCACAACTCAACACCACACACACAGACTGCCGCTGCTGTTTCTTTTTTTTCCTCAGGGCCTCTCTGTTCATACACGATTAGAGTGACAATCCTCAGTCTGACTGGTTTCATTCCAGACTTCCCTCAGAAACTGAATCCTACAAATCCCAAGGGTTTGGTCTGGATGCCCAACGAGAGCCAGTACAAAAAAATAAAAAAATAAAAAAAATAAAGAAAAAGCAAAACCCTATGTGGTGCTGCCTCAAGGCTGACTGGGCTCCCTGGGCTACCACAAAATGCTGAAATTGACACAGATGCCACATTATCCCTTAGCTTCAAAGTGAAGGGTAAACTTGGCTGTGGGGACTAAATAAAGCAGTTTGGGACCGTGTGCACAATTTGATCCCGCCAAAGCTGTAAAGATTATCCTATTACATGTAATTTATTATGGATTATTCATTACTGTGCTTAAGTTATTGGAAGCATAAACTTATGAACTGCTATGCATATATTATAGTGAATGAGCGAAAAAAAAGTTGAATAATTCAGTAAACTAACAGATGTTGTATTGCTACATGAGGAAATTACATATTTGGATTATTTAGATTATTTTATTACCCCTGCTGAGGAAGTATATGGTTACAGTTCATTTTGTGCGCTTGGTAACAGGATGGGTTTATATGAAATTGTGATCATAACTGGTCCTTGGCAGAACATGGGAATGATAATTATTTGATCATAATTTACATTTGGATGTGGATCTGTTTAGTTAGTTTCATCATGGGCCTTTCATAATGTATGATAGCAACAAGAAAAAAACAGAAATACTAATAATAAAACAGCCCTCAATATTGGTTTCCAGTAATAATAAAACTCAGGATGTGGTCTATCTAATTTTTTTGCTTTTAATGTTCTTTTTGTTCATTGTTTCCTACAACAACATTTATACAGATCTAAACCACTCTCTCTTCCCTACTTAACAGAACTCTTATCAGCATACAGTATTTCAGCGTAGAGGGCCATTACGCTGAAAAAGTCCCTGTTATGCTGAAATTAGGCCAAAATGCAAATTTTTAATAATCATAAAGCCCTTTCACTGACATCTGGGCTTCCTCTTACAACATTTCAGCACAGACTTTGACAAACTTTATTGTCAATTTGTATGCACAGAGTGTATAAAAAAAACAAATTTACGTTGCATAAAACTTACAACAGTGTAATGAGATTGCAGTTGGAATAAATAAATATTCCCAATATAAAGTACAGCAGTGATCAGAATGTAACAATGTAGGAGAAAAAAATAAACCACTTTAAATATGGTGCAAAATGGAATTAATATGAAAAAAATCCAGTACAGTGCATAATAAATATGGTGTAAAAATGCAGTAAAAACATTGAGTTGTGTTCTATTTAAAAGGATTAGGAAAGTTCAGCAACATTGGTAGTGCAAAATAATGTGCGTTGGACTAGTTGAACAGTTTGATGGCAGTGGGGAAAAAGCTGTTGCAGAACCTACGGGTCCTGCAGCGGATGATGTGAAGTTTCTTCCCAGAGAGCAGTAGGGAAAACAGTCCATGGTGGGGGTGTAAGGGGTCGCTAATGGTGTTACAGGCTTGGGACACGCAGTGCTAGGAAGAAATGTCTTTAATGGAGGTAAGAGGAGCCCCAATGATCTTTTCTGCTTTTCTTACCACTCTTCTCACATTGGTTATGTTAAAACATTTAGAATTACAATGGAATTATGCTGAGATCCTTACTTTAAATGAGCGTAAGGGCCAGGAAAACACACGCAGAGCACAGCGCTGCGAAAATGTGAAACCCTCGCCATTAAGACAGTCAACTGCTTACCAAGCTAGGTGATACTCTAACCCTTAAAACAGATAACAAGCTTAGAAAAATAAATTAACTACTCCATCCTCCCGATAGGCTCAGAAAAACAAACCATGATATATTTAAACTTTCCTTCCAAAGAAGGACTTATTGGTTTTCTAGAAGGTGTTGATGATAATTCATGTTTCTTAAGGTCAGTGTTTTTATTTTTTTGCCTGCCTTTATAACTTTTTTTTTTCCACTTTACTTTTAAGGAGATAGAAAGTGTAAAACAAAATTAATTAAAAAAGGGCAACAAGGAGTGGGACTGATCTAGTCTAAAATAAGGATTTGGCATTCATTTTGTGTTAGCAGGTCACAACACATAAAAAGTTATTAATTTTGTTTTTTAAGAGTGTTTTGTTTGGATATTCATGGACGGTCTCCATGAGAACCATTGTATGTGGGAAGAGCGAGCAGCCACACAAAATCTCTGAGCCACACAAATATGGTTCAGAGTTGCTCATCTCCGCAGAATGTTCCTTTCTTCCCCCATTCTCTCTGTCTTTAGTGAAGATGTTGTGATAACTCTTCTCACCATATGTTTGGCAATGTCTTTTCTTTAAATAAATACCAGTAACATGTAAAATCACAATTTTCTCATGTAATGGAGGGGAAAAAAAGGGAATGTTAACTTCAAAAATTGGCCTACAAAATCTGTACTTTAAGGCAGTGGTCCCCAACCACCAGGCCGCGGACCGGTACCGGTCCGTGGGTCATTTGGTACCGGGCCGCACAGAAAAAAAAACAAACAAATTTTTTAATATATATATATATATAATTTGTCTAAGTGATGTTTTATTTTGAAAAATTAAAAAAATTAGGGTATTACATTAGTCGGTTAATCTGTGCCCCTTGACACAGGTCAATTCAGGTCACGTGATATGTTAATCCAGTCAAAACACCTAAAGCCAGCAAAAATGAGTAAGAAACAGACCTGTTTGGACAGCTTCTTTGGAAAGGGGAAAAGGCCCAATGAGGAGAAAGAAGAAGAGGCTACAACTACCAAGAAAATGAAAGCTGCATTTAAAAGACTATATCACGAGTCCTACTTAAAATATGGATTTATCGCCCAAGGTGATTCTCACGCGCCGAACCCACTCTGCATAATATGTGGCGACAGGCTAGCAAACGAGGCAATGAAGCCTTCAAAGCTGCTTCGGCACTTGGAGACTAAGCATCCTGCCTTAAAAGACAAACCTTTGGACTTTTTTGAAAGAAAAAAAATGAACAAGAAAGACAGAAGCAAGTACTGATGGCCACCACATCAACAAATGTGAGTGCTCTGAGAGCATCGTTCTTAGTGGCTAACCGTATTGCTAAGGCCAAGAAACCTTTTACTATTGGTGAAGAATTGATACTGCCCGCTGCAAAAGACATTTGCCGTAAACTTCTAGGAGAGGCCGCAGTTAAGAAGATAGCACAGGTTCCTCTTTCGGCTTCAACCGTCACTAGGCGAATAAATGAAAAAGCAGAGGACATTGAGACACAACTGTTGGAGAGGATTAATATATCGCCGTGGTATGCAATCCAGGTTGACGAGTCTACTGATATTGACAACAAGGCAATACTACTTGTTTATGTGCGATATATATATCAGGAGGATGTACATGAGGATATGTTATGTGCACAATGGTTGCCAACCAACACCACAGCCGCAGCACTATTTAAGTCCGTGAATGATTACATCTCAGGTAAACTGAATTGGTCCTTTTGTGTCGGCATATGCACAGATGGAGCTGCTGCTATGACTGGGCGGCTTTCTGGATTAACGGCGCTGGTTAAGGAGGTTGCGCCTGAATGTGAAGCCACGCACTGTCATTCACAGGAAAATGCGCGCTAGCCGAAAAATGTCACCTGAACTAAACAGCGTACTGAATGATGTCGTTAAAGTTATTAACCACGTCAAAGCGCATGCCCTTAACTCGCATCTGTTTGAGTAGCTTTGCGAGGAGATGGGCGCATTGTACAGACGCCTTCTCTTACACACAGAAGTAAGGTGGCTATCTAAAGGGAGGTCATTGGCCAGAGTGTTTGACTTACGGGAGCCGCTGCAGAAAAAAAGTCACCACTGGCAGCACATTTCAGTGACAAGGACTGGGTCGCAAAACTCGCTTACTTATGCGATACATTCAACCTGCTCAATGAACTCAACCTGTCACTTCAAGGGAAAATGACAACTGTATTCAATGCAGCAGATAAAGTAGCTGCATTTAAAGCCAAACTGGAATTGTGGGGACGGCGAGTGAACAGAGGGAAATTTGACATGTTTCAAATATTAGAAGGGATTTTAGAAGAGACTGAGCCTGAACCGCCATTCTCACAGCTGGTGCACAATCACCTGTCAATGCTTTTAAAAGAGTTCGAGCGGTACTTCCCAACCACAAAAGATCCCCGAACTGCAAAAGAATGGATCCGCGATCAACTGCTGGAGATTGAAAATGACGGAGGCCTTAAAACTTAGTTTCAGACAACAACTCTGCCCGCGTTCTGGATTAAAATCAAGGCAGAATATCCCGAGATCGCTACAAAAGCACTGAAAACCCTGCTTCCCTTTCCAACATCCTATCTTTGGGGAGCCGGGATTTTCTGCGGTCACAGCGACCAAAACTAAGCAACGGAGCAGACTGGACATCAGGAGCACACTACGTGTTTCATTGTCTCCGATTACACCCAGATGGGACCGGCTTGTTTCGGAGAAACAAGCTCAGGGCTCCCACTAATTCAGCATAATGGTGAGTTATGTTTTTATGCTATTTGTATTTGATTTTATGCCAGTTGTATCACTGGCATAAAATGGCATCACTATTGGTTCTTTGGACCCTCTACAACGGCTCTTCTTAATAAGGGATAAAAATAGTTTTAAAAATTAGTTGGAGAAGCTTTATTGGTTTTTATAAAGGATGCTTGAATCATTTTAATCCCAACATCATGGAATTAAATGGACCAGAAATATGTTTTAGAGCTATTAGAGCTACTTGTCTTTTTATTAGCGTGGAAATTTTGTATTTTATTTTTTCTTTGTCATCAAAAAATACTCTATTGAATAAAATCAATGCCTAATCTCTCTGAGTCTCTTTCTGAGTTTTATGTTTCTTCTTATTTTAAAAGTTAATATAAATAAGCTGCTGGTTGTTTAAGATGACAGCAGATTTCCTATGGAAAATGCTCATCTAATCTTTTCTGGCTCTAAATGCAGAGATGGCAAAAGTACTCACTTTCCGTACTTGAGTAAAAGTACAGATACTTGTGTTAAAAAATACTCTGGTAAAAGTGGAAGTACTGATTAAACTTCTTTACTCAAGTAAAAGTAACAAAGTACAGGCTTGTAAATTTACTTAAAGTCTAAAAGTAAAAGTAGAAACCACTTTTTTCATGCCGTTGCCTACATTTTAAATGAATGTCTGCCAATAGGACTAGATCTCCGTTGTGTTCATTTTCAATCATCTCGTCGTCCATACTACTATGCTAACGCCATCGCCACCAAGCTGCAATGATTTGCCGCGAATGATTACGCCGAATCTGTCGATTCATCTTGTAGTGGTGCGTCAAATGCAACGTAGATTCCCATCCAATTAGACTGAATTTGGTATTGATGACATGAAAAATAATAACGGTAACTCCATTGAAATGATTCAAAACTAAAGTAACGAGACAATTTTTTAAAATGTAAGGAGTAGAAAGTACAGATATTTCTGTAAAAATGTAAGGAGTAGAAGTAAAAAGTCGCCATAAAAATGAGTAGTAAAGTAAAGTAAAAATATCAGAAAAATCTACTTGAGTACAGTAATGAAGTATTTGTACTTCGTTACTTCCCATCTCTGTCTAAATGACTTTTATTTAGCCAGCCACAATGGCTCTAATGATTTAGGTTGCAGACCTCTGATCTAAGTGGTTCTTGTTTTAGCTCTTTTGAGGTTTTTTTTGTTGTTGTTGTAAAGACATGGCTTTCAGAGACAACACACGTTAATTTCTTTCCTACACCTAAGTAGAGACTCTATGCAATGTACTATTATTGTCACAAATTCTTTACAGCCAAGGCTAGAAATACCACCCACATCGTAGATTCTTCTTATTGTTTATTACTACTGTAAAAAGTCAACACTGTTGTTTTCAGAAACAGAAAAATGCAGGTTTTATAGCAGCGGTTTTATTCCTTAAGAGTATTAAATTCTCACTAACAGTATTTAATGCTATATTTAGTTTCCTTTCTTAACCTATTGAAAGAGATTGTTTTTTTTCTACTTTTGTCAGCTTTTATAATTCTTTTAAAGAAATGTTTTTCACTCTCAGAACCGACACAATAAAAGTTTATCTAAACTTAAGAGATGCAAGTTTTACATTTGTACTCCTTAGGGAAAAGAATCAGGATATGCAGCTTTGATCCATAGCTTTTTTTTTTTTCACCTCTTAGATATAACTTCATATTTCATTACTATTTCCATCTCCAAGTGAATAGAAAGAAAATATTGATCATACTCAATGAACAAATATTGAAATAAAATACCACACGGTAATGTTTTCATAAACATTACAGTGTGGTAATGATAACAAAACTCCATCTTACCAAGAAAACCACAGGTGGACATCCGATGAGGGCCATTGCTGTGGAAAGTTTGCGTTTGTTCCCACCGCTGTAGGTTCCAGCTGACTTGTTGGTGTATTTTACCAGCCCAAGCTTCTGAATCCCCCACTCTGCCACCTTTCAGGAGATGTAAAGTGTTAGAGTTATGGATTTAAAATTGTTAATTGTAAATCTAGGAATCAATAATATTCTGTCCGTGCAAACGCGAGCTTTGTAAGGCTTTAATCACATGCTGCTGAGCGATACCTTTGTAACCTTTCAGACATTATCATTTGCAAGCAACATAAAAGGTCAGTGGGGAACTATTTAAGGAACTCCTCTAGAAACTCTGGAGATGATTTCACAATGGTTAATTCTTCATAAAAAGGAAGAACAGTTTGGATGACTGAGCATCCTCCTCAGAAAACTCTTAAACAATAACAGAGGGTCTTAAGTCACCATTGTGCCTGCAGCTAATAACATCTACAAAACTCATAAAAAAATCCTACTATTACATCTACGTTCCCTTTGGGATCAGTATAATATTTTTTTTATTTAACTTGAGTTAAATAACAAGCAAATAAGTCTGTAACACACACACATTCAAGCGTGGTACAAGGTAAACACTTGTGTCTGAAAGCTTATATTTCCTCTATATTGATTAAATGAAAAACACTCAAGAAAAGGCCACAGTTTTAGTCCTTTTGATAAGAATCTGTGAAATGCAAAGGAAAAATAGGAGTGAGATGTTTCGTCCATAGAATAGTCCAACCCACTTTTGTGTGCTTACTCAATATTATCTGAAGTATTTTCAATATCTGGTCCTGAATTGACCTTACTTTGATAAAAAGAAAGCATCAAGAAATTATTTTCTATTCCCTATTAAGCATTTAATTCTTATTTCTTTAACATTTCATAAATTGTAGTTTATCTATTCCAGCACTGAAAAACAATGTCAAACAAATGATTAAAAGCCCAAAATAATCACATCTATGCTTGAGATCACTGTGTTTAAACGTCGGATTGCATCATACTATCCAAATATTTTTTTTTTTACACAGGTGTTACATGCTGATGATTATGTGACCAGTGGATGCAAATATTTTTACTGACTTAAGTAATTTCTTTTTGCATGTTTAGAGATAAATTTTGTTTGCAAGTTGCAAGTAAAACCCTGTTTGCCTTTAAAATAACATCTCAATGAACTGCTGCAACATTCTCAGTGCTGCTAGCTGACTATGGTCCGTTTGCACTGCAGCTAAGACATCAAAGTCTTGGCTCAGAATCTGTGGTCACTGCCGGCCCCTTTACTCTTTTGATTTTTTTCCTTCTGCTGCAGAGGCAGGCGCTGTAAGAGAAGAGCAGCCAGGGCGCCTTGGGCCTGCCACACCACTGGGCACGTGAATAATGTAGAGCCATAACCAACAGCTGCTGCTTTTGTTCCATGGGCCATTTTTTATTATGCATAGCTTCATGCATCCAGGTTATCTCTAATGTCTGCAAGGATTTTTTTGTTTCTAAACATGTATTCTTGCTGTCATGCAGCTGAGTAAGTATTCTAAACCACAATATATACAGTGCATCTGTATTAAGAGCTTTCTGGCTTAATGTCCTTAAATCTAAACAATGTTAGCAATTAGAATTAACAATTACCATGGCAACCTCTTCTTCTGGTACTCCTCTTAACCTAGCATAAAACTCCAGATGCTCTCGTCCAGTTAGAAGGTTATCAATGGCGTCAAACTGAGGACAGTAACCCATGTTCTGATGAACATGTCTCATTTCTGTTCGAATGCTGGGGAGAAAAGTAAAAAAATACTCTTTTAGTATGAATGAAAATAGTTTTAAAAATAACGACTATAGGGCTGTATGTTTATGTCTCTGGAAGAGTAGTGTTAAAGCTTAAAAAGGCAAACATTTCTGAGAGAATAATCAAATATTCACAATGATTTGAAAAGAAACTCAAAAATCAGAGATATCCCTGTAGAACCAGCAGAATGAAATGTTTTATTCTCTGCATGTTCTCTTTAATAAATGTCACTATACTGAAGCAAAATAGGGGAGAAAACTGCACACATAAGCTGTCTAAATCACTCCGAGGCATAAAGCAGTGAAGTGGATTTTCTTTCATCTCTTCCAAGCTGCTTTGTTTTTTTAAAGATAAAATTGGAAAAGTTTTTCTTTTTTTATGTTGGTTTTTGCTTTCTTTTTTTTTCTTTTTTTAAGATGAATTCTCTGCCTCAGGGAACCTTAGTGTGATTTAACGCTTCCTCGAACAAATAAATTCAAAAAAGGCTCAAGTAAACTGAAAGCATTAGTGACCTAATACCATGTTTTGGTCCGGTTTAGATGGAAACTTCTACATCTGGTTCTAAAACAGCAATTCCAGTTTGAAGAAAATATTTCTTTTCAAGAAATCTGCTAAGGAAAGTTAGCAAACTGTCTACCTGATAGAATATGACCAATAAACTTTGAAACATAATATTTCTCATTGAGTCCTACCAAAACAATCTATTCTGAGACACGGATTGGAATCTAGTTTTACTTCCAAACAGTGTACTCTGAGACTGGAGGCTAAATGGAGTGTTCATCTGCAATCAAAATATCTAATCTAATCTAATCAAAACTAACGTAATCTAATCTGCTCTAACATAATCTAATCTCATTTGATCTAATGTTGTCTGATCTAATATAACCTAATCTTACCTGATTTAATCTGATCTAATCCAACTCAATGTACAGGTGCTGGTCATAAAATTAGAATATCATGAAAAAGTAGATTGATTTCAGTAATTCCATTTAAAAAGTGAAACTTGTATATTATATTCATACATTACATACAAACTCATATATTTCAGATGTTTATTTTGTTTAATTTTGATGATTACAAATGACAACAAATGAAAATCTCAAATTCATCATATCAGAAAATTAGAATATTACTGAAGACCAATAAAAACAAAGGATTTATAGAAATGTTGGCCAACTGAAAAGTATGAACATGAAAAGTATGAGCATGTACAGCACTCAGTATTTAGTTGGGCCTCCTTTGGCCTGTATTACTGCAGCAATGCGGCGTGGCATGGAGTCGATCAGTCTGTGGCACTGCTCAGGTGTTATGATAGCCCAGGTTGCTCTAATAGTGGCTTTTAGCTCTTCTGAATTGTTGGGTCTGGTGTATTGCATCTTCTTCTTCACAATACCCCATAGATTTTCTATGGGGTTAAGGTCAGGAGAGTTTGCTGGCCAATTAAGAACAGGGATTCCATGGTCCTTCAACCAGGTACTGGTAGCTTTGGCACTGTGTGCAGGTGCCAAGTCCTGTTGGAAAATGAAATCTGCATCTCCAAAAAGTTGGTCAGCTGCAGGAAGCATGAAGTGCTCTAAAACTTCCTGGTATGTGGCTGCGTTGACCCTGGACCTCAGAAAACACAATGGACCAACACCAGCAGATGACATGGCACCCCAAACCATCACTGACTGTGGAAACTTTACACTGGACTTCAAGCAACGTGGATGAAGTGCCTCTCTTCTTTTCCTCCAGACTCTGGGACCTTGATTTCCAAAGGAAATGCAAAATTTACTTTCATCAGAGAACATGACTTTGGACCACTCACCAGCAGTCCAGTCCTTTTCTCTTTAGCCCAGGCAAGACGCTTCTGACGCTGTCTGTGGTTCAAGAGTGGCTTGACACAAGGAATGCGACAGCAGAAACCCATGTCTTTCATACGTCTGTGTGTGGTGGTTCTTGAAGCACTCACTCCAGCTGCAGTCCACTCTTTGTGAATCTCCCCCACATTTTTGAATGGGTTTTGTTTCACAATCCTCTCCAGGGTGCGGTTATCTCTCTTGCTTGTACACTTTTTTCGACCACATCTTTTCCTTCCCTTCGCCTCTCTATTAATGTGCTTGGACACTGAGCTCTGTGAACAGCCAGCCTCTTTAGCGATGACCTTTTGTGTCTTGCCCTCCTTGTGCAAGGTGTCGATGGTCGTCTTTTGGACAACTGTCAAGTCAGCAGTCTTCCCCATGATTGTGTAGCCTATAGAACTAGACTGAAAGACCATTTAAAGGCTTTTGCAGGTGGTTTGAGTTAATTAGCTGATTAGAGTGTGGCACCAGGGGCCATCAATTTTGAACCTTTTCACAATATTCTAATTTTCTGATATGATGAATTTGAGATTTTCTTTTGTTGTCATTTGTAATCATCAAAATTAAACAAAATAAACATCTGAAATATATGAGTTTGTATGTAATGTATGAATATAATATACAAGTTTCACTTTTTAAATGGAATTACTGAAATCAATCTACTTTTTCATGATATTCTAATTTTATGACCAGCACCTGTAATAGTATATCATCTGATTTGAACTGATGTAACCCAATCTAACCAAATCTGATATAATCTAAGATATATTTTAGATATATCTTAGATATAATCTAATATTACCTAAACTAATCTGATCTAATCTAGTGTAAGCTAATCTGATGTAATCTAACTGAACCTAATCTAATGTAATGATCTCATCAGATTTGATCTAATCTGACCGCTCCACAAACGCATGGCCCAGCACAGGAGAGCAACCTCCTCGGGACAAGACTCTCATCTACATTTTATGGACAAAGGACATTGTTTTGAGGACCAGAATGTTCACATTATGCAAATAAAAAAAAAAATAGGTGGTTTGAGAGGGGCATGAAGGAAGCCGTCTTTGTTAAGAAACAGAAAAACAACCTTAAACAGAGGGGGTGGACTCAGGTTTCAGTTTACTAAAACCCACAATACAGTAATTGAGTTAATCCCTTCCCGCTATCATCATAGTCTCAGCCCCTGTACAGGAGAGCGGAGGACATTACCTATTCAGCCAGGCCAATAATTCCCTTTCAGACACTTGGATGGGTATAGGGCATTGTAGGGTAAGAAAAGAGGCCAAACGACCCATTCCAAAAGGGTGGAACCCTTCAGCCGTTTCAATTTGCATGTTTTCAAAACAAAAACAAGGTTTTGATGGGCTACTGTATAAAACCTCGAACTCAACACTATTCCTGATATTTTGAATTGAAAGAGCTTCCTGGATGGGAAGCGAAACGTCTTCAAACTTGGAAACAAAGTTCAGTGGATTTTTATTTTCTTTTTTTGGAATTTTAATCAAATGGCCCCTAATCTAATCTAAGCTACTCTATCTAATCTAACCTGATTTTATCTAATCTGATCTCATCTAATCTAACCTGATTTGATCTATTCTGATCTGATCTAATCTAACCGGATGCAACTTACTGTAATCTCACCTGATCTAATTTATACTAATGAAATCTACTCTGCTCGGATCTAATCTGATCTAATATAATCTAATCTGATCTATTCTAAACTAATCTAATCTAATCTAATCTGATCTGATCTGATCTAATCTGATCTGGCAATTATTGTGTTTGTTTCATACTTCTTTAAATTATTGTGTGCACTAAACTACAAAAAATGCTCCATGATCAAAGAAATGAAAAAGAATAAATTAAATCTTCAACAACCAAGAGGCCATTAAATGATACAAATTTAGCAATGCCTCAGGCACCTAACAGCGGCAGGTGAGCTGTCTTTGAAATGTAGCAAATTAAAGTTGTAGGCCATAATTAAGCAGCAGTGCTCCTAACAGGATATTTCATAGTTGGTTAAATGTCACAGTGAAAATCTAGTTATGCTGTAAAGATAAATCACACGTGAGAGTCAGCAATGTTGTAGAAGGAGGAACGTTTCAGCCAAAGGTAGGAAAAATAGACAAAGATCATAGTAGTGATCATAGTGTCTTCAGAACCTTTATAACCGCCAAACCAAGGTGAAATACTTTTTTATTGCTTCTTTAGTTAAAACTTTAGTTTTTGCTTCTTTGGCATTTAAGATATAATGATACTGAATTTTGGCCGATGGGGTTTCCATTTGACCAGAGAGCACCGAGGCAAACCAAAGTAATCTACTTTTTTACTGCTTCCAGGGCTTTCCCAATAATCTATGGTCTCCCCAAACCGATACAAAAATTGTGCATAGGAAACAATTTAGCAGCACTCTGTAATGTTATATTTCATCTATGCTTTCATTATGTAGTCTGGATAGCGAGATTTTGACAGAAAATGCTATGCGGTTGCTAGGGGTAATAGCAGATCCATAACTGATGTATCTGGGAGGCTTATTAAATATTGTAAAACAATAATTCCATCAAATAAATAAGGTAAACATGGCCACTGTATATTCCATGTCAGCACAGGAACTACTGTATGTTATGCAATAACTTAATATTCAGAAACAAGTGCAGCACTAATGTCTGGTCGTACAGCGACATCATTCACCATACTTAAATATTTATAAACATAAAAACTAGTTTAAAACCTAAAGGTTAAAAATTTTTATTTTATTAAAGTAAGTCATGAGTTACTGTGCTTCTTTGCTTTTCTAGATCTCTAATTGGGTCCTTTGTCATTAAATCATCAGTTAATTCTGACTGTGTGGCAATGTCATTTAGTGTGAATCAGACTTAATGTCCTTTAGCTGGCACTGACACTGTGGTTGTACTGAGTTACATGAAGTAGGTGGATTTGAGCTCAGATTGAACTGGATTAGCTTCTGCATAATACTAGTTGTGAAATGAAGCTATGTAAACAAATGGAACCGAACAGAATTTGAAGATGACATTACCTTTTCATAAACTGAGAAAATGGGCTTCTTTTGGCAACAGGAAACACTGCATTTTTGTGCAGTAATGATCCAATGCAACAACAAATGAGGTAATGATTCACTAATTTTCTAATTTCCTCTTGGTCTATTAGAACAAGACATAGCAAATGAGCTAACACCCACATGGAACATGGTTTTCTTTTTCAGCGCCAAGCAGAAAAGGAAGTCGATGAAGGTAGGAATAGCTAATCTTGAATTTACAGATATGAGAGACAACTGCCGGGACAGCAGAAGCATCCATTTAGGGAACTGCTGCCATTTCCTCCTCTGCTGATCATTCCTCTTGCCGATGCACAGAAAGCGAGTATAATGAGATGAAAACAGAAGAGTGGGTGTTGTCTGCTCACATCTGTTTTTTTTCTCTCTTTTCAACTGCTTCCCCTAAAGGTCCCAGAGATTTTTCTTTGATCACTATCACCCACATTAATCAACATTACCCATGCTGTGCAAGCCCCCACTACATATTGCTCTGTTCCCTCGTTGAACATAAAGTCAATTATCAGATGTATCAATGAACTTCTACAGCAACCACTGCTCCACTGTGTGCACCCTCTCTAAGCTGAGCTTGGAGATATATGGAGAAGAATCAAAGCTATCTGTTCTGAAAAAATTAAGTGACAGTAGCCTGCTTTCTCTTAAAGCACCGGGATCAGTGCTTCACTTTTGTCAAGTTATTCTTTTTCCATATGCTGTGTACAGTTATTCTCTATGGCTGATTTTGTGGAAGAAAAAAAAAGTAGAAAATAAAAAAGTAAAGGCGGTACAGGTCAAAAGGAATATATATTTGCAAGAAAGATCACAGCATTCAGAATATAAGAAGGCAAGCCAGAGTTCAAAAGGCCAATATTCTATATTCACATTTTATGTTGCTTTTTTTTTGTAGTCAAAAGCCAAACTTCTTAAATGGATATGATATCAATAAAAATTACTAAATAAAGGGCAGAAACAAAAAGCTTAGTATATGTACAACCCTAAATATGTCGTATTTATCTAAATATATAATATTCTTGAATGGTTAATACTGAAAGAGAAGGAGAAAGAGAAGGAAATAAACTTTTAAAGGCCTACGTCAATCATTCAGTCATGTAAATGCTGGAAATATGTTGTGAATTCCAAGCCAGCTTTAAGAAAAGACAAACATCTCAGCTTTAACAAATTTTCAGCCGTTGGTGAAATAAACTAAAATTTGTCTCTCTTTCTGTGTTTTTTGCAGCACAAAATGGATTGAAAACTCTGGCAAGGTCTTTGATTTGACATAAAACATTCTTTGGATTACTACATATTAGAATATACCTTTAAATTTTATGAGCTTTTATTTTTGAAACAATTAATTAGAGTGATTAAGGAAGTCTGCTTTATGTATTGGATGACGGCCTATTTTGTAATGAAACTACTCCACTAACCAGAATTTTACAAATGGTCCCCAAAACTTCTACACAGAACGTCCTTTATGGAAGTATCAGGGTAGAGGAAATGGTAAAAAGACCATTGTAATTAAGCAACTATTTAGATTTATACAAAATAACAAGTATTTTTACCCTTATAGTATGTGGTTAAGACGCCGCCTCCATGTTAGCCAGTATGAACCTGACTTGGTATCAATAACCCTTTCAATTTTATCCATCTATTTCTATCACGTTTTACCCCTGCTGGGTCATGAGGGGTGGTGGTGGTGCCTATCCCCAGCTTTCTACGGGCGAAAGGCGGGTGCACCCTGGAAATCACCAGTCCATCGCAGGGCAACACAGAGACCACCAGGACAAACAACCATTTAGGCACACACTTACACATAAGGAGAATTTAGAGAAGCCAATTAACCTAACACCTTGTGTGTGGGGGGTATCAGAATACGTATCAGAATTTAAATGCATACTTTTTTAGATGTGTTCAGAAAACCTGGCAATAGAACAGTAATGGTAAAAGAGTGTAATAAAAAAAAAGAAAAAAGATACACAGACTACTACGATATGAAAAAGAGAAAGAGAGAGAGGAGCAGAAGAGCCCGATCCCACCTGAGCAGCTATCTTGGGTGGCTAATTGAGATAAGTTACTCTGTGCAAAAGTGGGACCTGGAGCCTCACCTGTATCCATTTAGAAAGGCCTCTCCGCCGGAGACTGGGATGTCTCCTGTCAGCATCTTGAACGTCGTAGTTTTTCCAGCACCATTGATCCCCAGTAAGCCGAAACACTAGAGCAGAGAGAGGGCCATAAGTTAGGAAAACACTGGAAGTCTCACTGGAAAACTGACAGAGCAACATTCTCACTTGCATTGCTAATAATTTGTATGTTCATTAGCAAGTACAATTTACTGCACATATGGAAAGTGTGCACGTTCATCCAAGGCAGATGATTGAAGCTGCAATTTACAGTGTCTGCATGAGTAGTTTGGTGTCTTACAAAATAACAAATAGACGTATTGTGTGCACAAAGAAAACAGACAATAAATCAACAACACTATGAGAGCCTTGCTAGTCCCTGGGCCTCTTCTCATCTCTGCACACTGCAACAACAAACACCCTCCTCTATCTTTATTTTCCTCCTGACGCTGCCGATAGCACGACTTCCGCATGAAACAAAGTTGTTTCTGCAGACCTCTCTGTTCTTGGTCATGTGACCCCTCCGCCGTTGCTCTTAGCTAGTTTGGCTTTGGCATGAATACTTAATTCCCCTTATCTATTGAGCCCTGCTTGGTTGTGACCTGTGTCCATGAACACGATGAGGAGGGCTAAGCTCCATGTAAATAATGCATGGAAGTTCAGCGTGTGATCAGCAGAGCACCAGGAATCACAATAGTCTTCTGGCATTTACACTGGGCTCTGGGTAAACACCAGCAGGGTCGATGGGGACCAGCGGGAAAGCCCCCTGAGCCCCGATGAGTGTCAGCCTTTCACGCTTTGTTTAAAAGCGTGTATGCAGCAGTTTTTAAGCCATGTGTAATGTATAACATGCTATAAAAAGATTGCTATTAAACAATTTATTTACCCAGTTCCAATTTACAAGGTTGCAACAATAAATCAGATTCACACGCCTTTGCCACTTTCTACTCTTTAATCTTTGTGTGTTTATAGTAGCACACATATATTTAACAGGCATATAAAGCTATGAAACATGAAGACTGGTTGTTCTGTTGGTTTTAATGAGCTGGAGTATTATAAGATTTAACTCAGGTGAAGGGAAGACAAAAACTATAGCTTCAAGTCTTGAAAAGCAAACGCTCTGTTCAGAAGTTCATAGTCAATTTGGCCATTACCATCACAATGATTTTTGTACTAGTTAGACGATATACACCTGATGTGTGCTGATGACTATGTGGTCTTTTGTCCACATAGTGCTGGCCAGTAGCAACTGTTAAGGCTTCACTCACAGTACAGGTTGGATTACAAAATTACATATAATGCAAAAAAGAGTAACATGATTGTCAGGAGCAAAGATGATGCTGAACTATGTTTTCCTAACTTTACTCTGTCTGGCTATATTTTCAGTCAGTACATTATATAACTGGTCATGTGTCTGATGATAGAGATGTTTACAGACAGCATTGTATACGATATGTACAAGACGTTGGAGGTTCTCTCTGTGTTCTGTAGAAAATTTAACTTTAATGGTGCACTTATTAGTTCATTGTACTCAAATGTATACTGCCCACTTGTGATGGTGTAGGTAACAGATCTTTTCGGGGCATCATTATATGGCAACACCATTTGGACAAATTGTACTACACCCGTTTCATAAGAATAAACTTTCTTCTGGAGTCTCAGCATATTACTACCTACATTTGCTATTATTTTATATTCCATTTGCATAAAGTAGCCAAAAGTAGAAAACAATTATTCTCAGTCTTGAAGGAAAGCACTGCCTTCTAAGACAGACAGCTCTACCATTTAACAAAGTGACCAAAAAAAGGATAGAAAAAAGAAAAGGATAGAAACTGAACTTTATTGATCTCACAATGGAGAAATGAACTCTCTGCATTTAATCCATTCCCTTGAGGAGCAGTGGGCTGCCATTGTGTGGCGCCCAAAGAGCAGTGTGGGGTTGAGGGTCTTTGCCCAGAGACCCAAAGTGACAGGATTCCAAGCTCTATGCCCTAACCACTAGGCCGCCACTCCACTATTTAACAAGGTGACTAAAAAAAAAGTCTCAGTCCTTCTTTTTATTCTTTTTATTAGAATCTGAGGGCAGTGGAGGACAAATGGAACATCTGAAAAAATTAAATATCATGGAGAATTTAGACAAACAGAATAACAGTTATTCTACTGAACGTTTGTTGTTGAAAAGGAGTTAAAAGAAGTGTAGCTTACAGTAATATGGCTAACTGACCGAGGTAAATAGGCTAACCTGTTAGTAAACTAGCCACAACACTACCCACCTCTCCCCCTTTATACAGTCTTGGTCTTGCAGTTACTTTGTTCACCATAAATGTGTTTTTTTTTAGCTTTGTCATCAATCAGGTAAAACTTTATCTGTCATTAGACACGTTGTTAGGGCAACTACAATGTTTTATGTTATGTGTAATGTCACTGGCAGGCGCAGGGCAAGAGTAGATCTGACCACAGTGGATCTGGTACCTACAGTGGCATTATAGACAAAGCAGCATGCACAAACTGCATGGGGTATACAATGATGTCATGAGGATGTTGCTCAAGGTGCCATGAAGGAGTACTGCAAGTGTGATGTATGTTAATATAATTGTGTCCACCTGTGCTGCTGTATCGTACTTTATAATCTTTATAATCTCATTTAGGTTATTTTCTTATCAATGACGCCTTAGTTTGTACTGTGGTTGCGCCAATGCCATTTTTTTGGCCCCGATACTTGGCTGTGCACTATTGGCCGATACTGATACCATACCGATACCATCTGTTAGAAATTGATGTGTGTGTGTGTATATGAAGAACTGCATACTACTTGGATGTAAAATAATTGCCATCATGGCTTTGTCAAGCTGCTGTCTACCTTTGTGAAGCAGGAAAAAGACTAATACAAAGTGAATCCAGTGGAATTTTTTATTACCTACATGGAATGAGTGACAATAGTTGAATAAACTTTTGGCTTTCAAAATGGTATCGGTATTTGTCGGTACCCACCAATATGGATACCACCATTTTAATGCTGGATTGGGGCCCCGCCTGATACTGGTATCGGTGTCGGTGCAACACTAATGGTGATGGAAGGATATTCTACTTGTAGTGTGTTTTTTAGTGTTATTCTTTGTTTATCATGGTCCATGTGTCTGAATAAATTTTTTTTTGGATTTATTGGTACAACCTCAATGTTACATCAACATAAAGACTTGAATGAAAATTTAACATTAAACAAAGAGGTTCAAACATAGTGTTGTTCAAAGGTATGTGCCTCTAGCTTTTTGGTCACTATTAAATGTTTTACATAATCAACACAAATTCGAGCGCCTTTTAAGGTATTTAAATGATAAACTCAACATTTACAGAGACACCCACTTAGAGGTTATATATCAAGAAAAAAAATTGTCCTGTAAAAATTGGCAGCTTCAAGCTTGATTTGCAGCTGCTAACATGGACAGGCCAAATGTAGCCATCTTTAAAATACAGTTTTGTACCAATTTTGTTTAATCAAAAGACTAATGATTTTCACTGAGTTGGATATGAAACCATTATTTAGGTAGAAAAGCTACCAGAACAGTGGTCAAAGTGAAAGAATGTTTTTTTGTTACCGTATTATAAATATATGCTGATAATAAAATACATTTGTCTCCATGTCTACTGGAGAAGCCGATACATAAACTTTTAATATGTTAAAAGACAACAAAGCTGATGTCTAATACTTTCCCCTTGCAAAGACATACATATCATGAATGACTGTGTGTACATTTTATTCTACACCTTTGCTAAACATAATCATTCTATCAATGATTTGCTTCAACACCAACCATAACTGAGATTTCTTGAGTGATAACAGAGAAATGCTTTATCCAAATTGGTCATTAAAAAAGCCTTAAGTACAAAAAAGTCCTCCTAATAGACAACAGTTCTTAAAAAACTTTACAGTTAAGTAGTTGCTTGTGTAATCTAGTAGCGTCTGGCTCACCTCTGCAGCAGGCACGCCCACACATAGTCGGTCCACAGCAGGGGTGCTCTTCCCTCGGTAAACCTGCAGCCAACAGACAATACAATGAATCAACCAACCAGCCAGAGAGAAGGCGGGAGGCGGCCTGCAATGGGGAGCAGACGGTGAGGGAGACAGAAGAGGATGGGATGAGAGAATATAACACGACAGACCATAGGAGTAGCTAGGAGAGGAAGGTGGAGAAAGCAGGTGCAAAATGGTAAAAGTCAAGGAAATTTTAAATAGAATGGATCATTTGCAACACTTTGAACATAGCAGATGGGGAAAAGCTGGAGAAATAACTTTGATACTGAGCAGAACATAAGTTGAAATTTCTTTTTTGTGTGTGTGTGTGTGTGTGTGTGTGTGTGTGTGTGTGTGTGTGTGTGTGTGTGTGTGTGTGTGTGTGTGTGTGTGTGTGGTGTGATGGAGCCTGTGAAGGTAATCTGTCCTGACTTTGAGTAGCACTTTATCAGCCTCAATAACCTTCAACACTTACTGGCTGAATGTATTTTATTAATGGGCACCTACTTCAAACACTTCTATTGCTCTCAGTGCGCTTAACTGAAAAACCAAACTGAACAAAATAAATAAACAAAAACAACATTTCAATAAGGCAGGAAAGGAAGTTCTAGGCGGCCAGAGTTAAAATGATGTGGCAGTTATCCGGAAAGTTTTTTTAAAAGGTTGCCAGGACTACACTTAATAACTTTCATATAAATGCTAAAGTATTTTTTTTCACATTTTGTATTAACTTTTGTTATTTCTACTTTGCAAAAATAACATGATATTTATGGTAACTAAATCACACACAGATAGATTCTATTTACCAATTTGTAGAATTTTTAAGACAGTCATCTTTTATATTTTATTGTAACTTTTGTTATTTGTATCATTTCATCATGTTCTGTTTTTATCGCTTTTAAATAAGACTACTTATTAGAAGTGCGCTATAAATAATATTCATATAAATTTAATATTGACAATATTATCTGTTAGATAAATATTGTCATTATTAAATTCAAATCATTGCTTAGAACCTCTTTCTTTAACGCCTCTCTTAAACATATTTTTAAATCCTAGTTTTTATTTTATTTTATTGATAGAAAATTATATATAAAAGAAGGTACCCTACCCAGTCATGTCACAGCGGGACATGTGAATTCTACTGCAATGATATACAGTATGTGTGTACTTTTCAGTGTCAGCCATCTAAAATAAAACAAAAACTTTTTTCAAATGCTAGCGTGGTGGAAAAAAGTATCAGGGTCGTTTTAAAGAGAATGCATAGCAGGGTTTGAAGACTGTCTACACACATATTCATTCATTCATTCATTCAAATTCATTCATATTACCTAAGGGCCAAATGGCCAAAACCATTGGAAAAATGAGTATACACCTATGCTTTGTCACTAAGAGTACCCGTTGATGTTCACCGCCCTTCTTTCATCTCATTTTATAATCTCAAACTGTATCCTGCTAAGGATAATATGATTATTTTCTGTGATCACTTTCTTTTGTTTTTCTTACTATAAGTGTAGCACCTTTTGTGGCAGCAAGGCCTCGGACACCGTGTCCCTCCCATGTGTAATGTTTGTGTACTGTCTTTCTGTTTGTTTTAGTGTTGTTTGACGGGCTTTCCTTTCAGCGATTAATAAAGTACAATTGAATTGAATTGAATATTTTTTTAAGAAAACCAGATAGAGCATTTTTCTAAGAATTTTGATTGGTCTAATTCAAATATGTCAGCTTTTAAAAACAAAAACAATGATTTCACAAAAATGAAAAAACATGAAATTCTACTGTTTTGAGGAAACCTTAATGGTTAACATCTAGACAGTAGTTTGTGGCACTAAATTCAAGGACACTGGAGTAAAGTATCTGAAAAATCATCCATAGAACACCAGAAAACTATCTAAGGAATTGTTCCAAAAATAACCCAAATAAAAGATTTTACAGTAAGTGGGTTTTTCAAAGCTCCAGGCTAAAATAGAGATAGATAGCAATGTAAACCGGAAAATCCTTCAGTGTGGCTGAATTAAAACAATCCTGCTGAAAAAAGCAAGCCAAAATGCCTCCACTGTTTTGTAAATTACTCATTTGCATGCATTTAAAGACCACCATCCTTACCATAGTGCTTAAAATGCTTTTATAATAGTTAAAGAAGCAAATGTGAAATGCCACTTTTTTGAATGATATAATGGTTATTTTCTATATAAGTTCTCTCCGCATGTTATGTATTTTGTGATGATGGTATGATATTTGTAATGACAATAATTATTCTTTGTATGATGCAAGGTTTTTTTAAGTCATCCGAAAAGGCAACAGAAAAGCATCCACATCCTCGGAAATTGTCGAGAGGAGCTGTTCTTGGCCACTGCCTTGGAAACGATATGTAACGATATCGTTTCATATATATATATATATATATATATATATATATATATATATATATATATATATACATACATGAAAGAAGGAAAAAAACAAACAAACAAACAACAAACAATTTAGGTAGTGAAGCATAGGAGACTATCAACATGCCACACATCTCAGCTTGTGAGGACATGTTTTATCCACAGCTTTCATCATGTTCACTTAAAGCTTCTTCGTAAAATGTATTGTGTGACTATTGTGAAACTTTATTATTCTTATTGTTCATTCATATTGAAAAAACACTGATTTTCAGTAGAATTATTTAAATTTTTTCTAAAATACTAAAAAAATCTAGACTTTTCAAGCTTTCTCAGTCATTGTAGGAACCCATTTTTTATTTTTTTTATAAGAGAGCTATGTATAGAAAAAAGAGCATTACGGTATCAGACTCCTACTTCCGCCTTTATGAAAAGATAGTGGAATGTGAGGGCAGAGATAAGACTTTAGCAATGATTCAGTAAGGAACACTTGTCTGATTCGTCCCACTGTCCAAGGGCACATTTTATCACGTTAGCCGAGCTTGAGCAAACAGAGATGCCACTCATCTGTTCATCCTCTGAACTCAAACATCTGTCACAGGGACTCCGAAAAACTTCCCTGTCAACTTAATGAGCGTCTGAGACGCTGAGCTGACAGTGGCGTCCGTAGAAGGGCTCTCAGATGGACAAGCTCCCATTAGAGTCTTAATCGATGACAGTAGAGGCACTAATGCTAAGTGGAGGCTAGCAGATGTGTCCAAACTCTGGGTGTTTGGAGCAGCCTGAAAAAGGAGAGGAAGGGATGGTGGTTTAGAAATCCGACACATGACGGATGGGCTGTCGATCGCCTCAGAGGCATTCCTGGATTTATGACAGGGTGTAGCCCATGGTGTGTGGCCACCAAAGCTGTGTGCTCATTGATCAATTTGTTATCTAAGCCCGCCCCTCAAATGGATGGGCCACAGCTGTTGTGGGAGTCAATGAGGGCACTGCATGAAGAATCCTGATGCCTTCTGCCAACATGCTGCTGTTTTCTCAATAGTGACAGAATATGTGTCATCTGACAAACCGTTATTGGTGAAGGGGTATACAAGCTACTTGCTCTCCATCAACAGCAGAAGAGTTAGGGTTAATCTGTGGCTCTGATAGGACATCATTCCCCAAAAGGTTAAACAAATCCTTCCTGAAGAGGAACAACTATACAATCCTCATTCTTTTCACCTTGAGAGATGATTTGTAATACATTACCCATCCAACTGTTTCAGCCAGCACTTGTTCAGTAATTATCCCTGAGAGCGTGACGCCAACTGTGCGAATGAGCAATAAGCGAAAGATTAAGTACGGTGAGACGGAGGGGACCAAGGGAGCGGAAAAGTAAGGGAAGGTGGTATGAAGCAAAAGGCTTTTAGATCAGCCAACTGTCGGCATCAGAGGTGCTGAGGAAGCTGCCATTGTGACACTTCCTGCTGTAACGCTGCCCGCGGGGAGGGAACATCTGCCAGTGGAGCAAACATTAATTCTGCCGTCTTGTAGATGCACAAACTAGTACTGTGATGAACTGAAGGCCAGAGTTTTAACAATAAAACCAAGATTTGTCACCTCGCTTTTTTTTAACAGCTTGCTTTGTCCCATACTCATTTTCACTTTTCATCTACATATTTTTATATTGTCTGTTGTATTTTTATATTTAATGGCATCCTGCTTTAACACTGCCATTAGCACTCTACATAAGCTGGAACCAGAATTATCCTGAAGGAGTAATCCCAAGATTTCTAAGTCTAAAGAATATCACAGTCAGTCTTTCTATTGTCGCTTACTAAAATGTTCCTATTTAGGGGTTTTTAAAGAGGACCACTGCGGGTGGAAATGAGATTTTTCTGCCATAACCTGGTACACGACATCTCTTCTTTCTTAGACTAATGTTTTTTTGTGCATTGTTCCTGATCAAATAAAGAAAATAATTAATAATAATAAAAAAAAAAAAAACGATTGTGCCATAAGGTCTATAGTTTTTTCCCAAAAAGGAATTTAGCTATTTTGTTGCTCATTTACAGTCTAGCCCAGGGATAACCAATTAAATATCAGCGGGATCCATATTAAGAAAATCATCAATCAGTAAAGGTCCGGAGACATTTTTAATTATAATCTGTTACTTTACACAGAATTTAACACAATAAAATGAGGTGTTTATGCTTCCATGTTATACAATGACTTTTTAAATAAAAAAATTGTTTTCGTGTTTTTTATGGCTTAATGAGAAAGGTGGGCTTTACACTGCCCTTCAAGGCTTCAAACCTGGGTTTGAATGGTGACAAAGCCATTCTAACGCACATATCAAGGTGCTCATTTTGAGCCTGAATCGATATTTATTTTTGATTATGTTCATGGTGGAGAATCCTGCTTCACAGCAGTAGTTTGAGCTAAAAATATTCAAAATGTGCAGGATCATCTTTGAGCACGCCATTTCACTTTTCTGTCACCAGTTCACCGCAGTTCTTCCAGCAGTTGACAAACTTTCTTTCACTTTTTCTCATAGTCTTGTCCTTCTTTCCCATCGCCCGGCTTGCCACAGGTTTGCCTGCTGTGTCTAAAGGTAGCTAGACGCAGCAGCCCTGTTAGGAATCCTGTTTGTGTGGGTTGTGTGTTTGTGTTTTTTCCCTCCATCACCAGGTGGCGCCCGGTTCTCGTTGGCCTTTCCACAAACCTGCGGATGGTTGCCTCATTATCTGAGGACTCTTAAGCTGCTGACTGCCACTACCTTGACGCCAGAGTGTTTGCCAGTTTTGGGTACTCTAGCCAAGCTGAGTTTAGCAGAGTCTAACTCAGTATTTGTCTCCCTGAGCCCTAACCTTGTTGTTTTTGTCTCTGCCTCTCGGCAGGAAGTCATCCTGCAAACTGGATGTTTTGGCCTTCTCCACCTGGAAGGATCGTTTGAGTTTCACACTGAGCAGGGGATGCAAACTGGATGTTGGACCTTCTCCCCCTGAAAGGATAGTTCGAGCTTCACACTGAGCAGGGGATTAACCTCCACACAAACCGTTCAAGTACTTCAGGAAATTTAAGTGGCAGTCAGCTCCATCGCTCCTCAGGAACCAATCAAACCCGAGTAAAACCCTGTAAGCCCTACAACGAGTTAACCAAGTTCTGGAATAACCCACACCGACTGGATTTTGGGAAGGACACCTTTTCCCTGGAAACGTGAGTCCCGTTTCAGTCTCTGTTTTTGCAAGTCGTCGCTCAAGTTTCCCACGGAGCCTGAACTAAACTCTGAACGTCCCTTCTCACTTCCAGTTCCGGTTCTGAGTAACACTGGATCCAACTCATTGTTATTTCAATAAACCTGTTAAACCTTTTCTCTGGTTTTCTGAGAGGTTTTCTGCATGTGGGTCAGATCCCCTTAGAACATCATGACAAGCCCAGACTGACAAAGCACATTGGCTAATGTGTATCACGTGTAGCCTGGTCCCGGACACTCCGGACGGCTTTACCATGTTAACAGGAGAAGCAGCGCAAGTGAAGTTAGACACTGTTGTCGGACAACATGTGGTAATTTATAAATGTTTTAAATCAGGTTGGGTCCGGATTAGCCAGCAGGTGGGTTCGGATCTGGACCACGGTCCGATAATCCGTGACCTCTGGTCTAGCCAATGACTACACTAGACAAAAAAAAAAAAAAACAATTTTATAGTTACATATTAACAGTTAGGGGTGGAAGAGACTGTACAATTAATGAGGATTTTAAAAATATCCTGAATATTTTTTCAAATTGATTAAATCTAACCAAGTAGTGTTATTTTTCTGAAAATAAGAACATAAGAAAGTTATTTTTTAATGCAAGATAATGCTAATGCTATACAAGAAACATTGATTTTAAATCTTTTACCACCTCCTTTTCCAGAGCTGCCAATAAAAGAGGTGGTTGCTGTGTGCCTCGGTGCATGTCAAACATGTAAAATACACTCATTTTTATGTAAGATGAAAAAATCTCACTCCCTGAGCAAGGGCAAACACAAAGCAACATGCAGATGTTTGATTGAAAAGACATAGCCAAGGACTCAAAAATATATATTTGATGATATTCATGAAGAAAAATTACCATACATATTCACGAAATTGTCACATTTGCAGAAAAAATAGCTACCTGGGGATCATCTGCAAGCATTATGTTTTTTCACTCATTAGAATCTTATGGTTCATACATTGACTATGAAGTACGCCAAAGTGTGTTAAAATGGTGCATGGTCTTGCAAACCAGCCCGCGGACTGAATTATCATATAAAAAGACTGAATAACCACAGATTAAAAGGGTATTTGAAAACAAGGCCACAAACCTTTGTGAGGTCACAGATCTTCAACAGGTCATTCTCAGCTTTGCCTTCATACACTCTCTGACGTTCTCGGGCAACGTCAACATCCTCCTCCACTGCAGTCATTGATTTTGCTGAAATAAGCCTAATTGGACAAAAAGTAAAAGGGTTACAATCAATATTGCCTGTCAATATTAAAATAAATTGACCAGAATAATTATTTTAAAGCTTAAATTCAATGAAATAATTCATATTTTACAATCTTTATAAAATGCAGAGGGCTATTTTAAATGAAACACTTTAAGACGGAAACTAAACAGATTTTGCAATTTGGATGGCAAAGAACTAAAATACTCATCACTTGTTAGTTTGAAAGAGCATTTCAATTATAGTGATGTTGATGTGAAATTAACCTCAAACATGTGTATATAAGAAAACCCAACATTTAAACTGAAGTCCTACTGAATGATTAAAAACGGTTGACAATTAGCTATAAAACAGTCTTATTGTAGTGGACTGTTAGCTGTAATTATAGCTTTCTACATGATCCATAACTCTTTAGCAATTGTTTATAATTTCATCCATGAAAAGTTGGAGAGCTGAATACATTTAATTTCTTCCCACATGTTTTGTATGGATATTACCATAATTGTTGCAAAGCAACCAAAGAGTCGTAAAAAAAAAAAAAAATGCTGTTAAATATTTCCTGTCTTTTTTTCATGATTCTTTTCAATAACACATGTTTGCATGCATCAACCAGAGATCATTCAAGTTAAAAAGCCCTCACAGTTTTTTTTTTTTTTTTTTTCTGTTTGTAGGTTTGGAAAATTTTGAAGCTGTCAATAAATAAATAAATAAATCCATCCATCCATCCATCCATCCATCCATCCATCCATCCATCCATCCATCCATCCATCCATCCATCCATCCATCCATCCGGAATGAAGTTTACTTAATTGCTAAATACTCTGCTTTGGTGTTCTGTCCAGTGACCCCTTTTTAAGTCGACTGCATGCTTCTCTGATAATGGCAAGACCAACTAAGAACTAAGTTGACTTTATAGAAGTGTGTAAAGAGGCCTAGGCAAAAACTCAAATTGGAAAACGTATTTTAGCCTCAACCTCTCATTTAATCTCCGGCTGATGCTCGTCTCCACCATAGTCAGTTATCATTCAGGAATCTGCGTTTAAATCCCTTTCATACGTATATAGTTCTCCCTCACTGTCTGCTTCTGTCTCCTTGAACTCCAGTAGACCTGGTTGTGCTGGAGGTTTCTTCCCGTTAAAAGGGAGTTTTTCCTCTCCACTGTCGCTACATGCATGCTCAGTGTGAGAGATTGCTGAAGAGTCAATGAGTCGATGTAGTCAGCTGGTTTTCCTTAGATAGAAAACTTTGAACCAATCTGACTTATGATCTGGTTGAATTATCTCTGTAAAGTGCCTTGAGATGACATGTGTTGTGAATTGGTGCTTTTTATATAAACTAAATTGGACTGAATTGAATTCCAACCAATCTGTAACTCTCCTCCACTCCATCTTCACCATTTTCCTTGTTTTCATCTGGTCCCTTTTTCCTCCTACCTTCATTCCACCACCAGAGTCAGACTCATACATATTCTAATTAATTTGCAAAACAACATCCTCTTTAATTTTCTATGCCTATGTCCCGAACGCCAAAGTCTATATTTTTAATGCCAATACAACTGCCTTATTATAACTCGTCTTCTGTGTGTATCTCTGCAGGTTAAAATGTTGAAACATCATTGATAAAAAGGATCATAACACTCAATTCAATTATGAGAAATTTCACTATGAAAAATACTCCGTGAGTCACCTGGGTTTGCAGAAGAACTTGTACTGGAGGAGAATGGTAAAGGTGAACATCACAATGCCCTGGATAGTCATGGCCAGAAGATTTTTTCCCACCATCCCCCAGCTCAGTGGATCTTCAAAACGATCTTCCCCTAAAAAAAAAAAGACCATCGGAACAGCAATGATCATCATTTCAGGTCAGTTTCTGGGTTACACAAACACACTTACAGAATGTTTTTAAAGTAAAAAGAAAACGGTTGTTTTCTTGTCATGGACAGCTAAATTACAGTATGTGTTTTTGGTAAATGTTGTTGGGTCGTTCAAATGTCTTTGACGTATTATTGATTATGGCCAGCAGTTAAAAAAGCCACTTTGATATCAGACAGAAAAGACAAATAATACAAAATAACCTGTGTAATTTAAGAAATTTTTTGACATCCGGTGTTTTTTTTGTTGTTGTTTTTTTTTGTCAATGGGTGGGTTTTTAATAAATGGAGGCATAAGTAAATCCACACCAACCTTCCCTGTTTCTCAGCCTAATGTGGTGTGAGGCGAGAGGTGGGGGAGCAAAACAAGAGACAAGAAAAACGAAAGGGCTTTCAGTCTCATTCTCTGGTAAATAGCCTCTCTTTACACCAGCCCTTTTAAGTTGTGATTGCTTTTCTCCGTCCCTCTCTCCAACACCACAGCAAATTATTCCTCAGACCGCTATTTCCTGCTCCATCTCTCGACAGATAAGACTCCTCTTCCTCTTTCATGTGCCTCTTTGCCTCTTGACGACCCCCTCAGCTCCAGATCCACCTTCATAGCTAACGTACCACTTGTCTCCCTTTCTCCTGTCTAAATTGAACTCAAATGCAGAGAAGAGCTTTAGTAGAGGTTTGGGAGCCGTGTTACTGGTCAAATGTTTCCCCCCTGGAGAACCAGCTATTTGAAAGAAATAGTATGGTGTCACTTTAAAATGAGGAGTGTGGTTGAATTGAGTGTTTCTCTGGCAAGGATTTGCAGGCATGTGTACTACTTCGCTTTTACTTGGTATTTTGACCACTATAGACCGAAGTCATGCTGATGTAAGCACAATCAGGTGATCTATACTTTAAGCAAAATTCTGAGGCAACCCATATATTTGAAAAAACTATTTTCAAGAATACAATATTTAAGAAAGTAAGATTACACTTTAAATCATAACTATCATTTATAAAGACACCATTTATCAATGATTAACAGATAGTTTAATACGTTTTTATTAATGTATAAGCTGCTTCTAAACCATTTATAACAGGTAGATAAATAATTCATTAAGGCGTTAGAGTAAGGGTAATCCCAATGTGGCATGGCAAGTGAAATTAAAAATAAACGCTTGGTTCTTAAATCCCCTGATGTTAGGGATAAACTACCATTGCAGGGCAATATGATCTATTTACCTTTTATAAATAGTTTGGATGCAGTTTATAAATGATTAAATGATTATCAAACATCCATTTTATTCATTAATAAATGGTCTCTTTAAACTAAAAAACTTTAAAACTAAAAGCTTTAAACTAAAAAAGAAACTTGAAAGTAAGTGATTCTTATACTGAAAAAAAACACACAAACGAAAGAACATATCCGTGCAGATGAAGTCATCCTTTTTATTTATCTTTTATGTCATTACCTTCATATTTTTGAAATAGCAACCACAGCTACCCAGACACCATTATAAATCCCCTGTTTAACAGATTATGGTCATGTGAGAAATAGTGCAACATATTCTATTCTATAAATATTCATGATCTATGAGGTTGAATTGAATAGAACTTTGACAATGCTCCTCTAAGATCTGCAGCATTCAAAACTGTTTGTCATCTTTCCATCAGTGGCTGGGAGATGGAACTGGCTGACAACTACTAAATGCCTAATGGTTTACCATTCAGCTGTTAAAACACAGTTTAAGTAATCCTGAGAATTACCCAAAACCTTCCTCTTCGAGGTAGAGGAAGGTCAAGCACTTGCCTGTAATTACCTTATAATCAGTTGATGCCATAACTCTCACAGCATTCATGCTCCTTCCTTCATGTCTCTCAAGTGATTACCAGAACACCGATCAGTGGCTTCCTTCCTCTTGCCTAATCAGTTATCACATATCTGTTCCTAATGACCCCCTATCTTTTTCCTCCACCAGCATAGATAACAGCTACTGTACAAAACAACTAAACACCTAAACCACCACTAACACCCTCTGTGTTATTTATTTAGAAAAAACATGAAAATGGTCACACCTGAATATGGCTAAGCAGGTGTGGCACAGCAAACAGGCCAAAATGACCCAGCAGAACTCCTCTACACCGCAATTTTTCAAAAATCTTCTGTCATTTTAAACACAAGTCCATCTAAAAATCTTGAAATAAACAGGAATTATCTGACCAGTGGTTTGTTCTACTTACACAATACATTCAAGATAAGTAAGACAAACTTTTTACACCAGTAACTCTCAGCGCAAGCATGTTGCCCGGTCAGTATCTCCAACCACATCTTCCAAGATTTATAGAGTTCATATCTCGAACCAGGCCCGATTTTACTGGTAATCAGTCGTGTTTTAATGTATTTTAAAAAGCTGAACTCAAAAGGAATAAAAAAAAAAAAAACTCTATTCAATAACAGGATGTTACTTTTTTGTGATCCGCTCAGTACAGTGAAATGCTTAAGGACTGAAGTGTCCTTAAAAGTGAGCCCCCCTGTGTCGGGTAGGCATTAGCTTATTTGTCTGAAAGGGTAATTCAAACTTAGAAACTCTGTGACCTCCTATATATACCGGTCCATTTCTAATCTAAGGAGAACACAACTGTCAGTGCACATTGGAAAAAAAATAAAAAAATTTCAAATGTAAAAAGAAATCTAGTAAGGTATTTGTTAGAAGAATAAAAACAGCATGCCCCTCACAAGCCTGGTCTTCATTTAATTCAGTGTTCTTGGCAGACATTGCTGAATTATCTGCTAAAATGACCCCCACCGCTAATTTGCTTGAGGTCCTCCCCTCCAAGCTTTTTGGAAATGTCTTTGACTCAGTCGGACCATGGGTCACCAGACTGTTTAATATGTCCTTGTCTTCTGGTGTGTTCCCCAGCTCCTTTAAACATGCCATAATAGAGCCAAGACTTAAGAAGCCCAGCCTGGACCAGTCAGAACTTAAAAACTATCGGCCAATATCTAAGCTCCCTTTTCTGAGCAAAATACTGGAAAAAGTGGTAGCTAACCAACTGACATCCTTCCTTCAGACCCATAACATCTACGACAAGTTTCAGTCAGGGTTTCGGAAACACCACTCTACTGAAACAGCCCTGCTGAAAGTGTCTAGTGACATCATGATGTCTGCAGACTCCGGAAGCTGTACGGTACTGGTCCTGTTAGACCTGTCTGCAGCCTTTGATACGGTCGACCATTCCATCTTGATAAACCGGCTGCGGGATTGGGTGGGAATGACAGGTCCAGTTTTGGAGTGGTTTACTTCCTACTTAGCTGGTAGGAGCTTTAGTGTGGCAGTCAATGACATGATGTCTGAGCGGGGAGATCTCCAGTATGGTGTTCCACAGGGCTCAGTCCTGGGACCACTTCTCGTCTTACTTTATCTCCTCCCTCTTGGCCAGATTATCCAGCAGCACAGTGATGTGGCATACCATCTTTTTGCTGACGACATACAGCTGTACTGCTCCTTTAAAACCTCAGAGGTCCACAAATTACACTCTCTGATAAACTGTCTGTCCCGGATTCAGCAGTGGTTAAACAACAACTATCTCGCACTGAATACCGAAAAGACTGAGATACTCATTATTGCTCCTGACAGTGCCATCCCTGACATTAAACAGCACCTGGGTGATCTATGTTCCTCAGCCAAATCCAGTCTGCGTAATCTTGGAGTGATTTTCGATGAGGGGATGTCCCTTGCGCTACACTCAAAACAACTGATCAGGAACTGTTACTTCCATCTGCGCAATATCTCCAAGGTAAGGAAAATCCTCTCTCACGATGATTTGGAGAGAATCATCCATGCCTTCGTCTCTTCAAGACTAGATTACTGTAACAGCCTGTTTACCTGTCTGAGCAAGAAGGAGCTGGGTCGCCTACAAATTGTCCAGAACTCTGCTGCAAGACTCCTGACCCGTACAAATAGGACAGCCCATGTAACTCCTCTCTTGAAGTCCCTACATTGGCTTCCTGTTGCTTCCAGGATAAAGTTTAAAATCCTGGTCCTTACTTTCAGGGCCCTTCATGGACAGGCGCCCGGCTACATGACAGGTCTGATCCAGCCGTATACGTCGGTCCGTAGTCTACGGTCTACAGGTCAAAACCTGCTTATGGTTCCTCGGACCCGTTTTAAAACCCGAGGAGACCGGTCCTTTAAAGCGGTGGCACCCCGTCTTTGGAATGAACTCCCCCTGTCCCTGCGCTCTCTGGACTCGGTGGACATCTTTAAAAAACAGCTAAAAACACACATGTTTTCACTAGCCTTCCAAAGCACATAGCCTGTTGTTTTATTCCCTTATTTATTATAGCTTTTATTGCATTTTATCTGTTTTTACTTGTGTTGTTTTTATGTTATCATGTGAAGCACTTTGTGACTTTGTCTGTGAAAAGTGCTATACAAATAAAGTTTACTTACTTACTTACTTATGCCCTCTTGAAATGTATGGATAAATTGTCCTCCAGAAAATTCCTTTTAATCTGTTCTTGTCTCCTTGTAGCTTTCAAAAGGTCTCTCTGATCTCAGCATGTTTGTTGTACTGTTCTCATCAACCTGTTCAGGGTTTGTTGTTTGATACCATTCATCTCTTCTCTCCCTCTAACTCACACTAATTAGTGTCAAGCTTTCCAACACAAAGAGTTTATTCTATTTCTGATCTTGTGAAGTTGCACACCAGGGTTATCTTTTATTGTAATCTTTGTGCTTTTCCAATGAATTAAAATTTGACAAACATCTACATCTGAATTGCAAGAAAAATGTAAATTATGATTTGCAACGAAGAGTATGAAGTAGTACTTGTAATATCTAATCAAAACAATGGTTGTTTCAAAGTAGAACATACGTTTTTACCAAGGTAACACAATGAACAATGGTGTAATTCTGATAAAAATTATGTGCCATATTAATGAGCATGGAGGCAAATATAATTTAAAACCTAATAACTTCTTTAAAATATATCAAATAAAATATTTACAATCTTTATTTGTATTTTTTTAGCCAATGAAAATTAAAAAAATTTCACATGGATATAAATGATATGCTGAAGTGTCACCAGCCACTTCACAGAGGTGGATTTTACTTTTGGATGTAAAGGTTATCAGGTAAAAATCAGGGCTTTTCTTTTACCCTGATTTTTTTCTTTTCTTTTTCATTTTTTTCCCACCTGTCAGTATAACAAAGTGGTTCCCTGTCAGTGGGGTGCACCGCTAGGCATGACAAGGAGAGCACAAGAACAGCTTTGCTGTTTTCTTATCCAGATAATAAAGTGCACATTTTTTTCAGTCCTACAAAGATAAATCCTCCAAAATAGGAAAACAAGACCATGTGCTTTTTAGTCTGTACCTGAAGTCAGTGGGATGAGTAGAGAGGGATTCTGTTTTGTCAAGGCATATGAATATACAGAAGCAGCCATTCAAATGGCCCTTCCCAATCAAATGCCAAGTCAAATGGCAGCCCACTTCCCTGCAATTCCCAGCAAAGTCCCTGCCCTCTTCCAGCCACTGGAGTGACTCCCTCTTTCTCCTGGGTGTGCATATTTTTTTTTTACTCTGACTCCACCTTTTCACAGAATTACAGGGTCTGGCCAGGAGATGACACTTCTGTTTAGATCTTGTCTATAAATTATGACAGAAAGAATATCTTAGTGCAAAGATTAATGTTTAAAAAGGAATTGTAGGGGACCAGCCAAGGGCCGATCAAGGAAAGTGGGGAAACTTTGAATACTGATAAATAATGACTATTTCAGTGACAGAATTCTCATGTGTTCAAATTTGGAGTTATAATTGTATTTTTTGTCCAAAAAAAATAAAAAAATGTCCAATGCTGTGGAAAGTTCATTAAGTCTCCAGACTTGTGCTCTACTGACTTCCTCCTACCTAATAAATAAATGTCCATATAAAATTAAAGATTAGGATAACAAATTTAAATTGTAGATTTCTTATGGCTTTTTTAGGTTTTGCTGTGTTCTCAGTTTCCTTGTGCACACTGTTTGTCTTTCAAATTTTTGAAAGAATGAAAGCAATATGATACATTAAAATGTATTTTAGCATAGCAAAATATAATTAAAGTGATAAATATCCTTCTGTGTCTCATTTTTGTTGTGTGATAAAAGTCCTTACCCAAACTGGCGTAAAGTTTCGCCATCGCCTGGTTCTTGGCCATATCAATTAGCCCTCTGCCCAAACAGAAGTGTGGGAATATCAGCAACACCTGCTTCACTATGTCATTGATTTGGGAGATGTTCTGTTGAGAAAAAGAAAACAACATGAAAAACTTTTTCCATGTTCATAAACCTGGAGAGGGTTTTTGAGCATTAATCTCTAATCAGCATGATGAAAGGATCTATAAGTTCAAGGGAGAGTGCTGATAATTAACAAACACCCTGCACTCCATTGCCATGCTGAGCGCTGTTGTGTTTCAGAGAGCTCCAAATGGCGTCCTTTGAGTGCACAGTGTATGAGGTTTCATCTACCATATCCGACACTGGGGAACATACTGTGTGATCTGTGGAAGACCCGCATACAAGCTAACGGATGAGCTGCTGTATGGGCAAACAGATGTTGATCCGCAAAATCATAACTGAGGAAAAACTGCAACATCTCAAGACCCTGGAGAGAAGGTCTCTGTTTATCTGCCTTGTTTTTAATCCTTTGACAGTGTGATATACTACAGAAACAAAACAGAAATTACAAAAAGAGAGCAAAAGTATACAAACTCACTGGGAAGAAGGGAAAAAAAGCAAAGAATGTTGTATTCTACTATTGTACCTTAAAGGAATAGTACACCCAAAACATGATTAGCCTTCATTTTCTACTCACCCCCATGCTGAACAACACTCTGGAGTACTTTTTTGATATCTCAAATGCATCTGGAGATCTGGGAGGCTTCTTGCTGTCTGCTGACATTCAAATAATGGAGGTTTATGGTGTCCGAGACAGAAAGGTCCATAAAAGTCCACAAAAAACGTGTCAATATTCCTCCATACTGCTCGTCCAATGTATTCCAAGTGTCCTGAGTGGGTAGCATCCAGAATTTACTCGAAACGAAGTCATTTAGAATGTTTTTAGAGCATAAACAGTAGTGTATAGGATTTCCTGAAAGCGCGCACATGCGCGCTCACGACGCTACGGAAGCCGGCAGACCAAACCAGCGCTTTCAGCTCGGCAAAGAACTCATGCTCTTCCTCAACACTGAAGTCCTCAGACATTTTTCTTTCGTTGTTTCTTTCTTTGCACAGGTAAACAGCACATTTCTTCTTCTACGCTTGCATTATTGGCAGAGCAGACGCTGAATGCGCACTTTCATCTGGTTTGGTCTGCCGGCTTCCGTAGCGTCGTGAGCGCGCACATGCGCGCTTTCAGGAAATCCTATACACTACTGTTTATGCTCTAAAAACATTCTAAATGACTTCGTTTCGAGTAAATTCTGGATGCTACCCACTCAGGACACTTGGAATACATTGGACGAGCAGTATGGAGGAATATTGACACGTTTTTTGTGGACTTTTATGGACCTTTCTGTCTTGGTCACCATAGACCTCCATTATTTGAATGTCAGCAGACAGCAAGAAGCCTCCCAGATCTCCAGATGCATTTGAGATATCAAAAAAGTACTCCAGAGTGTTGTTCAGCATGGGGGTGAGTAGAAAATGAAGGTTAATCATGTTTTGGGTGTACTATTCCTTTAATGCTCCCTTATTTGGGATTCCACTAAAGGACAGAACAGTAATGAGCTAAACGTCCTCAGAAAACTGAGCTTTGAAACAAACTAATGGACATAAGAAGAGACGTCCAGTATGCCACAGAGGAGGAGCAGGGTTTGGAAAAAACAAAACGCAGAGCAAGGATAAACTATAAATACACCTGGCACGGCTTGGCGTTCAAAACCAACTTCATGTATTATGTATCCTGCTTCATTGCAGCACTTTTCAAAGCTCTTGCATACGCAGCGGGAGACAGAAAATTCATCATTTCTGCTTTTGCTCGTGTAAAGATTAGGTGGTGCAGGATGTTGTAAGTTGGGGTATAGTTTTCAAGGTACAGCCTATTAATGTCCCATCCTTCATTTATGGATGTGTGAGTGTGTGTGTGTTTCTCAATGCACAGTAAGATTAGTTTGCATGAGTGAGCTTTCAATATGCAGTTAGCCAGATTGCATGGAGCATACGGGCCTGATGCCACTTTCAGAGACACTTGTTCCATTTACATTTCCGGCATATATGTCTACCTTGAAGAGGAATAGCTGATCTCAACGACTCGATTTTTAGATTCCTGGAATTATACTTTGCAAAACTAGGTGCTAACTATACATCCTTTAAGTAGTATTATATATATTTATATATACGAAATATTGGGCCAATATCATTTTAAGGTCAAAGGTATAGTTTTTATTTTGTCTCTGATACAATGTAAGATCTGATCAAAACAATAGGAAACAAAAGGAATTAGTTTACCTTAATCCTTAGACCTAACTACAAAAGTCTAAAAAATAGTTATTTGTTTTCTTTTAATATCTATTTTTGGGTGCAACTGTGGGTTCAAGAGCCTGGTGCCTGTTCACCTCTAACCTCCCCATACTTATCCTCTAATGCCATTTATGCGGATAAAAAAAAAAAAAAAAAGTTAAGTAAAACTGAATTGCCTTTAACACGTTTAAGACAAAACTCTTGATTTTTATACCTCGTTTTATACCTCTAAATCAAAATTATTAAAATCCAGCCTTCAGTGAAGAGCAGCAAGAAATATGCGTCATAAGAGACCTTTTACAAGCTTAATTACAGGTCATGTAGGAAACATAGAAAACATGGAAAATAGGTTTTCTGGTTGGATGAGATCACCAAGTTTTTTGGTCTACATGCATGTTGTCTTTTTTTAAAAAGGAAATTCAATTTGTACATATTCCTCAACAGACCATTCCCACGTTAAAACATGTTTGTCTCGCCTTAAAGTTGTAGGGATGATTTCATTTGATGCGTAGGTAAGCTGGACAGAGTTTAAAGGAAGATAGATGGAGCTTTAAACATAGAAATCCTGGAAGATTATCTGTTAGAGGCAGCAAGAAAATGGATAAAAAGACGGAGGGTCATCCTCCAGCAAAAACAGCTGTTCTGAACTTATAACCAGAGCTCTAATGGAATAGTTTGAATAAAAGATTTTAAATGAGTCAGAATGGCACGGTCAAAGTCAAGACCTAAATTCAATAACAAGAAAATGTGGGAATGCATGAGGAAAAGTATTGCAAGCCAGTTTTATTTTGTATCTGCTATAAAAGCAGCTTTTTAGTTAAGTTTCATAATTAAGCTTGTAAAGAGTTTTGAAGCAAAAACTTAAGGTCATCCATTGGTCAGTGTGCAGAGAGTTACTGCCAGTGATGAAATGCATTTATGATGTTACAGAGGTATAAATACGACCATTGATGTCCTGCTGCTGCTCAGTTGGCAGCTCACACTATAACCTTGTTACATATTTATATGCATGCAAAGCAGGTAATTGAGATCTGACTGCTCAGGACAGATTTTAGTTCAAGGTGTACATTTCATGGTAAACCCTTTCTTCTTTTTTCTGGAACAATAAGGACGGATGGCAATGCTAGATCCAAACAGGACCTTTAGAAAATGTGTTTAAGGTAATTGTTGAAGTACAATTCAGAATAATTCAAAGAAGAAATTTAATAAATAAATACAACCACTCTGTCGGATGCATATTGTTTTTCTCTTATAATGATTGTATGTATGAGAGCATGTGGGTTAATGGAAAGAAAGCAAAGCTTAATCTTCTCTCTTTGTAGAACAATAAACACAGTAATGCCTAAGATCAAAAGTGGGCTTATTACAGGTTCTTTTTTCATCTTTTCTAAGTAGGTGGTCTATTGAGTACTTTCTCTGAGGTATGCATCAGACCATGATTAGAAGCTCTAACCGATCATGATGTAAAAGCAAACCTTCAGATGTTGAGTTTAACAATTGTTGCATTGCCCTTTCTACATTTATGCATTTGCTTAAAGATTAAAAGGAGCTGTTCACCGGTCATCCTTTAAAAGAATAAATGTTGCAGAGAACAAAAGCCACAAAGGCAAATAACTAATTTTATTCCCTGCCAGAGCCTTTAAAATAAAGATCAACATATATAGTTATATCACATATTTATATGATTTCAGATAACAACAGCATATTTGGCAGACATTTCTACAGAAAGTAATACTTGATGCCCTTCTACAACAACCGACATTTAAACACTAATCAGGGTTTAACAAATTTACTGCCTATTTGTGAAACAAAAAAACAAAAACAAAAAAGAAACACTAAAAGAGATGTTTCCAATGTCTTATTTTTTGGAAGCATCATAACTGCAGCTAATAGTGCAGTTAATTACCTTTCTTTTTTTTTTTCAGGAAATTCATAAAAGTGTCTTATGTTTAAAGCACTTTTTTTTTTAGAAATCCAAAAAACATTAACTACTAAGGGACTTACAGTGAAATAGAAAAACTACAATAATAAAGATCTGGAATTACCAAAATAAGACCTGATATAAATCTGTTTGACAATAAACTGATGCTTGAAAAAATTAACATTCTTAGCTTAATGCAGTTCTGTGAAGAGGAATGGGACAAAAGTCCTGGCAGGATTAAAAAACTGGCTCAGCTAGTTTGAATATCTGCTCATATAGGTAAATTAGATTATCACTTACCGACTAGTTTTATTTAATTTTTGGGGTTTTCTTTGTACGATATTACAATTGCATTCATAGTATGAATAAAATAAATGCAACCGAAAAGCAAACAACCGGAGAAATAAATTGTCAAGGGAAAACTACTTCTTTATGCCACTGTAGCAATTAATGTAAACAGGTTGAAATATGACCAAAGAGGAAGTAGCAACAGTCTCTGTAGAATTACCCCCAAATCTATTCATGCTATTTCAGTATTTCTTCATTTCAAAGAGCTGTGAGGGCACCAATGCATTGCCTCTCTCTGTGTTTCATTGCTTTGCTGTTGGATGTAAATTTTTAAAAACATTTCTATAGTGGGATTTTATAAAGGCATGTACTGTATGTTTTTTACAATCCCCAGCAAACTTGAGCTTAGTATAGAAGGTCAAACAACTAAGAAACAGCAGTGACCTTGGTTGGAAGATGCTGGACTGTGTTGGGGGAAGAACGCAAGCAGGGCATGAATTAATTTTAGATTAAAAGAAGAATTCTCTCAGCCATTTGATTAAAAAAAGGATAGGAGCAGATGATGGAATT